ACACCCTAACCAAAAATCCAAAATATAGTATTTCAATGTATTTCACTGAAGCTGGATACTTCTTTTTTGATTTACATGTATAGCAATCGATTAGGGCCCTACAGCAAAACATCCATCCAGGGTTTACACGGGCTTGAAATAGCCCCAGGTTTGATCTCTGCTGGCCCTATGGCAAAATGAGAGCGTCTAAACTGACGGCGTCATTCTGCAGGTAGCCCTGATGCAAACACGAATCAGCGGAGTTTCTGGTAAATTAGAGAAGGCAGTGGGAAACAAAAAAACATGAGTTCTTGTTTAATAGGACATAATAAGCCTACGCCTATATACTGGTAGTATGTGTGGATAAACATGATGCATTCCCGGCCGCCGGGCCCTATGGCCCATAAGTGTGTGGTGGCCATCCCAGTATTTAGCAACCCCGAAAAAGATAGTGTTTCCAGGATGCTATAGGTGATATTTTTTGCTGAATTTCCCATACAAACATGTTCTATCTTATTTTCGGGGCTACTATTTATATAATATATATATAATGTATATATATATTATTAAAATACATCTTATAATACATATATATATATATATAATATAAAATGACAGATTATATTATAATTCCCTTTGAAAGTGGATCGAGTCTATCCCAAGGACTGGGTCTCCAAGTCACCATTGCACATAACCAAATGACTTTGCTGTTGGAAGACGATATATTTTCTTCACAATAGGCACGTCTTATTATGTTAATTGGGGGGATGGTAAGTACTGCAACCGGCTCAAACTGGAATAGCTTTGGTTGACTAATATTGCTGATTTATAGTATGGAACACTGTTGACTTTCCGAATGGGATGCCCTTAAACTTCAATCCCCTTCGTCCCCTTACACTCGACCAGTGGATCCGCCTGAAGCAGGTTGCCGATCATCAGTGAAGCCACCACCATCACCACGCCCAGCAGCACCTACGACATCGAGACACCGTGAAAAACGTGGCCGTGCTTCACGCAAAGCAAGTACCGAAAAAATGCAATGGACGAGAGTGAAGTGGATTAACTCTACTGACCCGAATAAACACGGCATTTCACAAAGTAGAACGATCCATCATCTAGCCCCATTGAAGCTTAATCTACATATATGGACAATATCTATAGCGACCACAAACATCTGTAAACATCCTCTACTACGAGGCTTGTCTGTCCCAAAACCGGCTTCGTTGGGGTCCACCATGGAACCACAGTTGCAATCAACTGGCCTTCAGAGACAAGTGGGAATATGGAATAGTAAACAGGGATGAACGAGAGATAGATTCTGGAAAAATGTCCCGCAACCAGCAACCAGCCAGGTTTTGACATAAGTGATCATCGCCAGCATTTGTTCAGCATGCTAAAAAGAAACACATGCTGGAACAGACCTAAACACATACCCATGTTCAATCATGTTTGGGTCTGACCTCAGCCAAATCAACTGGGTCGAAAATATTTCCACCAAACTGGGCGGGCCCTGACACTTGAGTTCTCTTTGGTTCACTGGGTGCTGCCCAGTTACCATCGACCAAACCAACGACATTAGAAAGGCTTGGCACGCATTCAGAAGCCTCAGCACGATGAATCCCACCGCAAGGACTGCAACAGCCCTGGACCCGGCGATTCTGGGAACTGCTTGGAGCACACCAAGGGAAAAGTGTGACATGTGACGTTGATTCATCATTTCATGATATTTATACCTGTCTAGGACACCAGTGTGCGGACAGCTGCGACAGATGGTTTTTCTATGAACCCAATCCTCGCGGAAGTAGCTGGTCAAAGCATGTTCATTATCACTTTGGTTTATTGATTGGAATTTATTATCGACCCATGGATATCTATGGTACATTCACCCAACATCCAACAGGGGTTGATTAATGTGATCGAACCGACCAGTTTCCCCGTTTCCAGTAAATTACGATTGAATTGACCATCGTTCTCACACAGGGTCTCCAATTTCACGGTAGACAGTAGATTAAAGTGATACACATCGCGAATCAAAAAACCATCAACACCATGAGCTTCTCCCCAACAATAATTCATCAACTTAAGTGTTTTTCACATTTGGAATTCTCAACATATCTCAACATATATATTCCCATATGCTCCATGGTGCTGGAATATTTACCTACATTTACCCCAAAATCAACCAGTTTTGTAGGTAAATATTCCAGCACCATGGAGCATCTGGGTATATTAGTTGCTTCCACGGTTTGCCACAGCTGCTGCTGCGGGCCCGGGACAATTTCAGGCCCTGAGAAAAGCGAAAAGCTCTCAACATCCGAACCGCTCGGATCGAACTCCTCAAACGGGCCCCGTTGCATTTCCCGGCGACCGTTTGAGCGAACAGAAAGGGGCAACTTATTGAAAAACGCCACAGCTAGTTCAAAACAGTGGCAAATCTACTGGTATATTTTTATATTTCCAATAGTGGATTGTAAATCTACTGGTATATGTCCAAATATTTCCATGGATTGTAATGATTCCTTTTCAATACCTAAATATTGACAAGAAACCTGTGGGTTTTTGACACTGCTCAACTGGGAATGGTAAATACGACCAGGACCGAAACCAACATCCTGTAGCCAAGCCCAGCTATGGGAATTTTGAACAGCTCAGGGCCGAGCCAATTAGATCTGGTGGTTTTGAAACCTTTCCGGTCGTTTCAATCTGAGTCCATGTGCGGCTACGTAAGTTTGATTCTGCATGGTTGGATGGATATTTACGTCTACTATATAATCATACAATGTATATATATTGTATTACATCAAAAAAAAATATATATATATGATATACGTATGATATTAAATGATTGTATTCACAAGCCCAACACAAGCACCCAGTGAACACCGAAAAGAGAACATCTTGAAAAAGCCAACTTCGCAGCGTAGCCGCTTAGCCTCTTCTGCACCGAGCTTCAATGCGCGCATGAGCTGTGAACTCAACAGGTCATCTGGGATGATCAGCAACAAGAAATGTTCCTCATCCATCGGTCATCGATGCACGCTGAACTACTGCATCCTATTCCAAAACTAGAACTCTATGTAGCAAAACCGGTCACCCAGATTGTTATTTCATTTTTTAGCTAAGAATTTGGAGTTTTGGCCTTTCTCAGGACATCGTAAAGCATTCCGTGGAGATGCCAAGCCATGATTTGTTCCTATCTCGTAACGTCTTCGTAGCACCCTTTGTGTATTCATGCACATATTCCATAGTTGAGCACATTCGCATACTATGTTTTTATTTAAAAATAGTAGTTTGTTCACGCTACATGATAATGGATATATACGCAATTCTACACATGTATAATCATATAATATCATATGTATGCAATAGTAATAAACAGATCATAGCTGAAACACGCCAAGCTTGGGAGTCGTTTTTGGTAATTTCTCTTCCGGTTCAAGACACAGCGAGGCCGGCGAAGACTAGAACGCTGTCGAACATGTTGGCCACGTCCTGGTTCTCCACCCAACACACCCAACACGTGGAGGTGGAAAGTTTCACCAACGATAAAACGATGCAATTAGCGCGATTATCGCATCGTCTGAGATATCACTGTAGATGTATTATACATACACAAAAACATATGATTATTACCGAACATTAATTTCTTAAGGTAGTGTATGCTACTTTTTGTTGGCATGTGAAGCAAATTCTACACGGTTTTCAGTGGAAAACACAAACAAAACCGGTGATTTCTCAAGGAGTATTGCTTACCAGGAAGATTCAGTTCCAACATCAATCAGACATCATGGATTTTGAAACCAGGTCCAAACAAAACATTTCCACACCAGCCACCGCGTACCTGATTTACCTAGATCCTGAACACTATACGTATAGTCATAATAATCTTATGAATGAAAAATAATCTATAGATATAGATATATATATATACCTAGATCTTCCTGACTACAAAAATTTCAGCCCGAAGGCTTTCAGGCAGCTATTCAGCCCGAATCCAGATTTCTCGCCCGCAGGCAGAATTTCTGCCCGAATGCATTTTAGGTGATTTGGTGGTGTTTGATGGTTTTTGCACAATATCATGTAACATAGGGTGGTCATGTAATACATAAAATAGTTATTCCTCAATCAAAATTCTATCAACCCCATTATCTCCACAATGTTGTTCTTCAAAGAGTTGACCATTGACTCATAAGGGATGTGGCTAGTTAAACATGAACCCTTCCGTATAACCCAAGCATACCCATGCCACACTTTTGCACCTGTGCTGCCAATGCTGCCAAGTGTGAAGTGAGGGGGCTCGAGACCCCAGAGCTGGGAAAGGGATGGGCACGGAAACAGCATGTTTTCAACTTTGGAATGTTACCCAAACTTGGTTTCAGCAAAGAGACTTCTAAAGCAATCTCACTTATCAATTCTATATTTTCCGGTGTTCTCTCATCGTTTGGCCCAAACCTTTTTGGTTTTCTTTGCGTCTCGCCTTTTGATCAAACATGAAACCTTCATGAAATAGCGGTGGATCACCCGTAGGTCACATAGACGGAATCCAACCCGTCGGGATAACCGCGAAATTCTTCCCATAAAATCCTCATTGATTTCACAAGCATTGCATTGCGGTGATAGGATTAGAGTAGCTCCTTTGCGCAACTCTCTTTGCAAATGAATAGCTACATGGTGTAAAGCGTGGTGCTTTGGCTTCTGTATGAAGGCCCTAATGCGAAGGTTGATTGCAGCCCTCCCCAGCACCGAGTATCCTCGTAGGACAGTCATTATGCGCACATAGCATAACATGGCACATTTTCTCCCAAGCCAAAGCCGGTGATGGTGAAGCATCCGTAGACTAAGTGCCGCATCACATACCTGATTCATTTGTTTCAATAGTACCTCGTGGCCTGGTACAGTAGGATTTTGGATGTTTAACTTCAAGGTGTAGCTCAGCCATTGGAGAAGTAAAATACTGTCACTTCCCTTGCTCGATGCCCAGGGTGCCGAAACCAGCGTCTTCATGTTGAAGAATGCCTTGGTAAAGCTTCGCAGGCCTGGACTTTTACCTTGGACAGAACACCAAAGGGCGAAATAGGAATGAGCCCTCTGGAATCGGTCCACGATGTTGACTGTGCTGCCTGGAAAGTCAAAAAAATTCAGCCTCAGTAATAGCACCAAAATTCCTCCGATGATGTCCCTGGCAACACCAAGTTTGTGTATATGGAACAAGTCAGGCTGCAGAATCAGCTCAGGGCATGTGTCATCAAATGGCACCCGTGATAACTCGGGGGGTTCATCCAATGACCACGGTCTCTCAACACAGAAAGTTTGCAACCATGTGGGGAACTCGGAGTAGTCCTCAAATGGAACGTTGGGGCCACCTGCTTTGCAAAGATGACACAGTTCAATAGATCTGCTAGTGCCAAGATTGCTGTAGCTCCTCTCCAGCTGCATGACTTTTTTGTGGAAATCCATGTCGCCCTTGATAGCTACTATCGCAGCATACATGATACCATCAGAGGTGCTCACTCCTTCATCAAAAAGCTTCTGGAAGCTTTTGCTAACTTCCTTTATCAAATCATCAACAACGTTGGGGTTCCGTTTGTAGATCCAACCACCAAGTCCAAACAGTAGAAAATGGGACAAGTAGGAATGACCTTTGAAGTTTGTAGTTTGCTTCGAGCAAGTCTCCAAGATTTCTGGGTCAACAGCTTTCAAATCAGGACCGTAGGAAGGCAAACCAGAGCGCTTGCCCAACTCTTCATGGCATGTGCACTTGATCGTAGGGTCATCCAAAGATCCAAGGGGTGATTCTATGGACAAAACCAGGTAGTTTGTTCTTTTCACTGCCCTTCCTTCATCACCATGTAGAATCAGGGGCACCACTCTGTCCAAACGCCCTTGATGTTCAGAAAAGACTTTGTGTCCTGGATGTTGTAATTGGTAAGCATGCCAGAACGATTTGAAATTTTTGTGTGCACATCCATTCCATCCACCTAAGAGCTCTGGGCGCTCATTCATCCAGTGTTTTACCCAATCTTCTGGTTTGATGTGGTAGCTGGTGAGTCTTGTAACATCGGCAGTCTCACAGACATGATCCATGGTGTGGATTGGCACAGGGAGGGAATACCCCATTTTTTCCATCTTTTGATGTATAAATCTTGAAGCATTTGTGTCAGTGTAGTCATCGTTCCCTGACGCTCGTGGATCCAGGGAGCGAATAGATCTGGCAGCGCTTGCAGCTGTGGCCTTGGCAGGCCACAAATGGGAAGGGAGATTCCAAAAAAGAGGCCACAAAAGTTGAGACCCTGACACCATCACCCAGTGAATCGGCAAGATTGTCAATAAAGCGTTCAGGGAGAGTATTCTCCCGTTGACCTGGCAGCAAAGCTCATGGGGTGGTTAACTTATGGAATCCAACAATTCACTGAAGTATTTTGCGTAAAAGCAATGAGAAGGAATATGTTTTGTATCCTTTGGCCACAAAAGCAACTTCCACTGCAGTCAGCCTGCGTCCTGGCTGTCGCAGGGCAACTCAAACGTAGCAGGATTGAGTTGGGAAACCAACTGTTGGGTCCCAGCTTGTAAGATTTGTCAGTGAGGATACCCCACCACACTTTCAAATCGCAGCTTTCCAGGAGACCATTTTTTTCCAGAAAAATAACATATTCCAATCCACAATGACATCATAAATTCGTTCATTTTTGAAACCATAGTCGGTGAAGTTTCAACAGCCTATGGATCAAATTATGATGTTGTGGGATCACTGGTCCGGCTGCTTACCGTTGGCACGGCGTGCTGGGGCAGACTTTGCCTGGCCAGCAACCCCTCCGCCAGGCTTTGCTGCAGCAGCCTTCTTGGCCGCCGCTTTGGGGATCTTGGGAGCCTTTGGAGGCTTGTCCTTGCCATCAGAAGCGGGCAATCTGGTCCTGGGAACGAGGCGTTCAAATCAAACATACCCTTTATATCCCTTAATTTTCCCAGCTTCAACACTTGTTGCATTGTATTGCATTGTGGAAACTTAGGATCAAACTTCGCAAAGTGTGCCAGGGCCATGGATTCTGCCAGCCTCAATTGCTAGTTAGTTTGGCCAGATCATTCAACTATTCGCAACCCCTAGGCCCAAACAAAAGCAGGCAAACATGTTTTAAGGGCCCAGGCTTTTTGCGGGCAACGTCCAACTCCATAGAGATTTTTTTTTGCAACCTAAGGCAGCAAAGGTGTGGTGTTGCCCAAACATACTACATGTACCTGGCCAAAGCCAAGTACCAGATTTTGAGCTGCATGCCGGGACAACCAAGAATTTAATCTATCGTATTTTGATCAAGTTACTAAGGAATAAAATAATAATAAATAATAATATATAATATCTACTTGGGTTTTGGGCAACCATGTGAGTATTGAAAATGGCAGGTGGGATATCATCCTGAATTCTCATACTTCCACTATACCTGGGCATTGACTATGGTACCAAATTTGGCCCCTACATTCTTGGTACGCCATTACATGCAGGGATATGCAGGGTAAGGGCGGCTTGGGTTTTAGCTAACTATGACTTGCGGCTGTCATAGCGAACCAATCTGGAACATACCCATTTTTCACCATAGTAAAAAAAAATAGAATCTTTGTTTGGTGGTTTCCAACTTACCGACACGAATCATTGAGGATTCCCATTGGTCAAGGGACGCCCTGGTATAGCCACCTTCAAGGATACCTTCCCCGTGCATGTCCATAAGTTGTTCATCATGATGAACAAGTGCATCCATGGCCTGCTTGATCTTGTTCTGCATCCTTGGGCCATGGGTGAAAAAAATATGAAAGAACAATGTCTTTTGATAACGGGATTCCTGACTTCAGTTCAAGGTTATATTTGATCTTTATAATTCCCTTTCGTGGTATTTTCCCCAGTAGTTTCCAACGAAACATAGCTAATAATGTCAGTATACCCCAAGAAGAATGATATAATGTGTTGCATCATATTTTTGGAACCATCATCAATGATTATTTTCTAATTTGATCATTGGGTCCTCCATGTCCCACCCAAAAAATAGCTTGGTGTCAAGTATCCGCTCTTGCAAGGGTGTAAGACGGCCAACAGACTTGCAAGTCTCCATCATGGCTTCTAACTTACCAACTTGTTTCTGAATGCTTCCACATGCTTTGGGGACCAGTGCTGAAGGGGCAGTGTCACCCTCAACCTGTGGAAACTGGAGCTTATCCATCTCCCGTTTCACATCCTCAGATTCCACCTGGACAGGTGCCGTATCGGCTTCCTCAGTGGCCTTGTCCAGCAGCAGACCTGACCAAGGACAGAGGGATGGCAGAGTTTGAGGGTTTAAAAGGTGGGGAATGCTGGTATGTTCAAGTTGGTTCGCAACACTAACCTTCAAATAAAATCGAAATTCACCAGCATTGTGGCCTGGTGCTGCCGGGGTTTGCTCTTGTTGGTTGCCTTCCATGAATCCCCACTCCAGCTCGGGAGCATCGGTTGGAACATCATGGCCAGAGTCCTTTCCCACTTCCTCCTCCCACTCGGAAATCTCCCTAGAGATGTGCCGCTTGGTTTTCCTTAGGCGTCAAGACTGTCACAAACCAGAAAAGAGACTATTGATACATACCGGCTAAACAAAGGATCCATTCTTATACATACCCATGGGAATCATGTGCAAATAAGATTTTGTTGTCACTGTCAATCCAAAGAACCTGAGGAACCCTCGGGAGCGAATTTCAGTCCAGTACATCATACCCTCGCCGTACTTGCTTAACCTGCAAGGGGTGCATTGATTCCATGACTTCACACGGATGGAACTTGAGCATCATAAGTATGAGGATTGTTTGATGGGAGAAAACCCTGCCTTGTAAGATGGGGCCTGGTCTCACAGTATCGCATGACGCCTTTGATCTTGGTCCTTAGCTCGTTTGGGAAAGACATGTTCGGGATTAATGGGTATTTTGAATTCAGATATGTTGGAAGTCTCAATTTGCATCAATTTTCTATTTCAGGATGGTTCATGTCAAAAATGGCGGTGATAGCTGAATTCATCGACATCAACTTATGCCCCCACAGTGTAGAATTATTATGAATTATTTTACATCAAGTGGCTCTGAGAATTCCATCTTCTGCATATCAGCCACCGTAAGCCACTCTCCCTCAATCTCACTAGCTTCCTCTGAAATACGCTCTGTGATGGCCTTGCAGCGTTTGATGAATCTGTCCTCCAGGGCAGAGACGGTGAAACAAGGTAAAAACCGGTCAGAATATAGATGAATGTTGTAGCTCTCGTGATGAACACCTTGAACTTATGGGCAATTAAGCTAGTGGGATAATTGGTTGACATGGAACCCATGGGAATCCAGTGGTGTATGATAGCTCTTGTAAGTTCATGAAGTTATTCAGCAACAACTGGTGGTTAAACAAAGATAGAATATAAAATATGATGCAAACATAGGTCAGGTTTGGTCAAACCTGTCCCTTTGGTATCCAACTTTCTCGAACATGCTGTAGATCTCATCACGGCCGCCCCCATCAACATCACTCCAAGCTTTGTTCCACTTGTCATCTAGGATGTAAGTTCCATCTTGCCTTCTCTTGAAAACTCGGTTGATGCGCATGTAAATTGCCTTTTCACTCAAAACCTCCGGTGGTACTGACATGGCAACGTAAAGTTCTGGGTCATCAACATCATCGGCAGGCCGTTTGAAGTTTGGGTAACCACCATCTCTTGCATTCAAGCACCCAAGACCATCTACTTGCGATGAGGGTGTTCCAAAAATTGTCTCAAGATGACCAGGGGGTGGAACAGGTTTCATAGGGGACGGAGCTGGGTGCTCATCCACTGATTGCCCACCCGTCATGTGAGATTTCCTGCTCTCATCCAAGCTTTCTACCCCATGCAACTGACCTGGCTGGGTTTCATCCTCAGGGTTTGCAAACTCAGTAGGCCCAGCACCCCCAGACCCTAGCTCTGCAGCTGCACGAGGAGGTGGTGGCGAAGGTGGTACTTCATCTTGTCCTGAAGGACCGAAGCAAGGACCACCAATGGCATTGCCAAATGTAAAAAAATAAGATGTAAAGTATGGGTATATAAATATTATTTTTACTATATACACACATTATTTTTAGTATATAATATATTTTAATATATTATATATTATATATTATAATATGATATATTATATAATCATATATGTTTATTATATATTATATATTATTTACAATATTGTGTATCTATGAAACTATATTATATATATATATATATTATATCTCATTTTACGGGTGGGAAGCATTGGAATTGTTTGGACCCCATGGTTGATTGTAGTAACTAATTGTTTTTTATTGGTTGGTGTAACCATGTCAATGGGGCAACGACCCTGACCCTTTTACTCCATGTCCCATCATTTCCCAGTTGTCTCCTGCTTGAGCTTCTTGTGCTTCCCTCATTTGCCTTTCAAGTGCCTGGGCTGGCCATAGAATTTAACCAGGCCATACAGGTAGGATACAATACTTTTTCCAATGGTCCATGTGTATCCATTTTGTCATGTTTTGTTCATGGCCCCAAGCATGTACTAAATCCCACCAAAGCCGCAATCTGGGAACCAATCCCTGAAAAATGTTTTTATATATGACTGAATATTCCACAGGAAAACAAAAATATCAAAATATGCATCACCAAAACCATCCAACTACAGTAGCTACCTTTGCCTGGTTAAGCCTTAAGCTGGGGTGCCTCCAGTCGTTCCAGTTCTGCCTGCATGGCTTCTGGATCAGGATCCGGCATCTCCGACATGGCTCGATTGGACCCTTCCTCCAGGAGATCCAGTCCACGTATCAGGGTGTCACAAGACCAAGCTTTGCTAGCAAAACTTGTCATAGACTGGGCTACCTAGAACACACCTAAAGCCAACACCTGAGGAATTTGCAATATCATCCAGCAAAAAATCAAGATTTTCCAGCCACCAAAAAAATCACATTTCGTTCAACCCAGAAATTGTGGAACGGGAATTCTCGCCCGATCACGGGAATTCTCGCCCGATCACGGGAATTCTCGCCCGAATTGGAAGTACCAAAATTTGAGAAAAAAATCATTTGTGTTTTTTTTTGGTTCCGATTTTTTTTGAAACCTGTCCCCATCCCATCGACCAAAATTATCTTTTCAGGACCCCGAAGCATCAGATTGTTGGCATGAATTTGCTGAATTGGATTGAATTGTTCAGTCCATGTTCAGTCCATAAGGCTAGCCAGTTAGGCCGCTGAACTGGAAGTTTCAAGTTGAAAAAGCACAGCCCGGTAGGCAGGTGGCAGCTGTAGGTGCCGAGACCCCCTACAATACTCATACACTGTCCACAGCTCCGCGTCATCCCAACAGTCACCCGTTGGCATCGACAGTAAGAGCTCCAACACGGAGGGCTCTTCGTCCACCTGGTCAGGAAAGGTATGTCATGCCGCAATATATGTAATAGAATTCCTTTGTAGGATGCCATGTATGAATGCAAAACCTTAAAAGAGGGACAGCCAAAAGCAGAACCAGCACCTGTGGGTCTGGAAGTTCAGGCATCGTTTCGAAGAATTTATTCTTGTACTCCAAGATCTTTCCAACAAATTTGGCAGGATATAGTCTTAGATGATGCAATGACACCCCAAGCCACCAAAATCCAAACAAAGTAGGGTACGTATCCCCAAAACGGAACATTCTGGGAAACATGTCTAAACAGCAAACCAATGACTGCAAAGTAGAAACTGTGTCCCTTTGAGTGCAGATCCAGCCCCCTTGTAACGGGTCTTTCCAGACTTGTCCTTGTATTTAACGGCTGTTTTCACCAATGACCTGTGCTTGGTCTTCTGAATTGGTCCAAGATCCAGGTATTGGATTGCCCGGGAAGTTGACCACAACAATGTTCGTTTCAAACAAAGATGGCCATAATGTTTCATCCATAGAGATTGCTTGAAGAGACCTGAGTTGATGCAGTTTCTAGTATTATCCCCAAGATGTGGTTGAGCATTAGGAGAGAGGGTAGGGTATTTGAAAGCCAGAAACCAGTATAATTGCCATAAATACAAAAATATTCATTGCTTGTGAAACATAATTTAAACACATTTAAATCAGTTGTTCATCAAGTGAAGATCCCAAAAAAGGAACTATTCCAAGATCAGCCAGTCTACTAATCCCACGGGCACGGAGCATGGCCACAAGCTGCTGAAATCTTCGTTGGGCATTCAACAAAGTCGAGATCGGATTCTCCACCACTGGAACTCCATCACAGGCTATTATCAATAGTACTATGAGCACCGTCCTGCATGGGGCTAGAAATTGGATCCCTCATGTCCCAAAAAGTTGAAGACTTGTTGAACTTACCCCCATAACTTTTCGCAATCCGTTCCTGCATAGACCTTTGTTGGCCTTGTACACAGCTAAAGATATGGGGCATCCCTGTGGCAAGAACTGGGTACGCATAGTAGAGCTCCTAGAGATACTCACAAAGGTGCTGCAAACAACACCAAGAAGGCCCAAAAAGGCTCCCCACTTTGCTCGAAGCACCATGACGCAGGACAACCTGGATTGGCGAGAGAAGCACGAAGGCAAATGCAAAGGGATGGGGAGAAGGACTGCTATTTTGATTTACTAATGCATGTTCCTGTACAATATATCTTTTTACCAACAATAAGTTTCAGGGTCAAACACGTGTTAATAAAGGGTGGAGAAACACAAAGCCACCAGAAGTGTTCATGTCCATGGCATTGTTCTTGGATTTATTGTCACCCAAGGTATCGAAGTCCCTGTCCATAGCTGCTGTTTTCATTTTGAGCCCCTTGGCAAGTTTCACAAGACGTTGTTGACCTGCATATAGTTCCAGCACATCGTACTCATTCTTCGTCATATCAACCACGTCGAGGTATCCAATCAGGAGGATAATGACCACAAATACCTGGGTCCAGGATACAGTCACTATAATATAGTTGTCCTAGTTTTTACCAATTTCATGTGTTTCTGGTCTTTGGTCATGTTGTAAAAGAAGCCTAGGTGCCTTTGGAGCACCAAGCCAAATCAGTTGGCGAAGTACGTATTCCAGTTTGGGCGGCAAAGGGGGGTCAGCACCATCGCTACACTTGACCTTCCCCATGGGATCCTAATACCAAAGGGCTAAGCATCCACTGAACCCAAACTCTGCAGATTAAGGTAGATTAAGAGAGGTACCCATCTTCATGGCCCATGACATCCAGTCAATTGGTGCATATTACATTAAGAACAAACCCCAAACTGGCCAGGTTTACGTGGCTCCACTGGTGGCTCTTCTTCGATCACCCCGTACCTCACGTACGGGCCTAAGTTCCGCAGCTTTGCAGAGCGGACCATGGTACCTGGAGCAAGGATGGAGGACCCAACAAATATTAGAGACCAGGGTCTGAAGGTAAGGTGTTGGGGAATTATTGGGAGGTCGTCGGAACAACTGTTTTAACACCTTTTTCCCCCAAGCTAGGATTGTCCCAGCAGGTTTTCAGCTGCTAGGTTCTGGAGATCTCGCTAAGATCCATGAACGCTTGCAAACACATTGGTTTTTCCATCAGGATGGGAAGCATAAATATGGGAAACCATTGCGCAATATGAAAATCTATGTATGTAGAGTAGAGTCAACAGTTAGTTGTTTTTTCAAACTTCACCACATTCCATCCCTTCCGCTCAAGTGCCCAAAGTGTTGACTAAGCAAGCAAAACCCCATATCATAGAGCTATGGCATCATTGGTCATTGCGTAGATGCATCAGCTCACTTCATCATACCTCAGCTGGCCAAAACAACAGCTCTTAAGTTTCAAAATAGGGTTGGATGATTTTTGGTGATAAAACTTGGTGGACAAAAGAAGATCTATGTTAGGCCAAGTACGCTTGACATCTTCCAACTCCAAGAAATCAGGAATGCAACCATGAATGAACGACGGGTAGTTGGTGATCTGGATGGGTGCTGCTTGCGACTTCATATGCTTCATGCAATGGTTCCAGAAAGTCACCTCCATGGGGAAAAAACAACCCCACAATGTAAATTCTTTTGATGGGAAAGAAATTGGTTAAAATTGGAGGTTGTACCAGAAATCCACCAGTGAGCCTCCATGGTAGAAACCTTGTTCAGCAAGTGCTTCAAGTGCAAATTGAAATTGTCCTTGATCGCGTCAAAGCGGGCTGCAGGGTCTGATCGCTCAGGGCGATACCGGCGGGCAAAGGACTTTCTCCCACCTGCTTCACCACCAACTTCATCATCACCATCACCTCCATGAACTGCCTGGTTGCTGGCAACCTCTGGGTCATCAGCAGGGGCCTCCACAGCAGGTCGGTCATGGGCAGGATCCTGCTCAGGCATGGCAGGGGCGGCAGGGGCAGGAACTTCTTCATGGCTTTCAGGCAGAGGTTCGCTTTCTTCATCTTTGGTCTCCTGGTTTTTTCTGCGCTTTGATCCTGCATTCTTGCCTTTCTTTGCAACTGCTTTGGCCTTGGCCTTTGTGGCCTTGGCTTCTTTGGCAGCCTTGATCTTTGCGGCCTTTGCTTCTTTTGCAGCCTTTTTCTTTTCTGCTGCTGCTTTCTTCTTTTGCTTTTCCTTCTCGGCTTTGGCAGCTTTCTTGGCCTTGGCCTTTTCTCGTGCTGCTTTCTGCTTCTCTGCCTTTGTCTTCCCTCCCTTGCTGCGTGTCTTGGGTTTGGGCTCCTCGTCACCTTCTTCATCATCAAGACCTTCACCTCCTTCAGTCTCCTTGCTGCGTTTCTTTGCCTCAGCGTTCAATGCATTCCTCTCATCAAACTGGTCTTTGCGTGTGACGACTTCGTTGGCATGAAAAAGATCCTCATCACCTGTTTTCTGGTCCCCCTCCCCAACATCTTTGGCTGTGTTATCCATGCCACCCTCCACATCCACAACCTCAACACTGCCGGACTTCTCCAAGGGAGGTTCTGTGGGAGAAGGTTCTGGGACCGAAGGTTCTGCAACAGAAGGTTCCGGGACCGAAGGTTCTGCAACAGAAGGTTCTGGGACACTAGGTTCTGGAGCAGAAGCTCCAGAAGCTTCCACTTGAGTAGGTACCCTGCCAAACCGTTTTGGAGTAGACTGATCAACAGGAATCTCAGCCGGGGGGTTCTCCATCCATGTTTTTGCCACTGGGGACATATCCATGGCTTGAGTCTCCTGAGCATCAGTGGCCACCTGTCGCGCCTGCAAAGGTCGAGCCGAAGACTGGACTTTTTGCTGCTCCAGCCGCTTCCTTACAGGCAACTTGTCGGTGCTGGAATGGTGGACATAATTCTTGGGGATTCTTGGGGCAAATATACGGGCAAATCATGGTAAATCTATTCGAGACCCGAAAGACCAGAAAATAAGGTTTTCCATGTTGGGGCAAATAGTTTAATCCATTTCTGGCAAGTTAAGAAAATTATGAAAGGCCAAGATCAGAAACTTAACCATCTTGATCTTCTCCTGCAAAGCGGCTAGATCTTCTGGGGAGTACTTACCGGCAGAAGGCAATGGATCTGTCACAGTCGTAGTAATTGGGCGATCAGGGGAGGCCACCACCTCGATCACATCGGAAGCTTTGGGCGTAACCTCCATCTCCGTAGGTGTGATGGCAGGGCTGCAAGATTCCCCACTAGACATGGGCTGAGAGTCAATCAAGGTATCCGCTAGTGGTGCATGGTCACCATGATTCAAATTGTCAGGGACCTGGGAATCTCCATATTCCATTTCAAGGGCCACCTCACCAGAACCAACTGCATCTTCATTTGCCATGAAAGTATCCGGGGGGATTTGTGAGTCGGGCATCGGCTCAACAGGATGGGCCACAGGCACAACACCCAAAGATTCTGCCAAGACAGTCTCACCATAGTCATCGCTGAGGCATGGGGGCTCACCTGGGAGATCCTGGCCGACATCAGCTGGTTCATCTGTGTTGGCCATGGACTCTTGGCTCTGCGTGCGGGGCTTTTTGAGAACAGGCCAGCTCGCCATGATGTCATAGAGGCTCTTGATAGCTGCATCCTCAGATCATAACAACAATCTAACATGATCTAACATCTAACCCTTTGATTTTTTTGAGGCATTGGATTGTCCCATTTGTGACAATGATTGTCTTGAATTCGCTATGTTGTCTATGAATAAAACATAATAAAACAGGTTAATGCTGTCAGAAGTCCCGACGGTTGGAACCATTATGGCGACGCACAAGGTAGGTCACAAATCCCCTGATTGAAACTGCATCACAATTCACCTTGACCTCATCGTCCACCCAGCCCTGGTTGGAGCGGAACGTTCTCACCTGGTCGCAATAGCTGTCGAATTAAGTTCTAGGGAGATGTTTGGAGGAGCAACCTAAAACACAACCATGTAACAAATTTGCATACAGTGTGTCAAAATATTTTAACACCAAGTTCTGAAGAACCTTTTTGTTGGTAACCACACCTCGTCACGGATGTGATCGATGTGGATAGTCTTGGCAGTGGGAACTTGTGGAACCCAGATCTCCATGACGTAGGAAAGCACCCTAGTATTTCTGCCCATGGTGCTAAAGTTGATAACTCCAGTATGCTTTGGGGACGGCCATGACAAGAGTGTCCCATTCATGAGGGCAAACCGGCGAATGGTCTCATCTTTGTCCCACTTCCCCCAAAGCCCTGCCAAGGATGTTCCTTCGATTGGGGCCTCATCCACATCATCATAGGCATCATTGAGCGGGTGCGCGGGCAAGGGCAAATCCATACTCAAGAATTAAGGAACCCAAATGTTTGGCAACCCTGTTCAAGCCAAATGGTCTAGATGGAAACAGAGGTGATAACATGTGGAATCTTTCCCAATCCAAGTGTCCCAATCTTAGTTGTCGGCTGCACGGGGCAGCTTGACATGTATGCTCATCCTTACATGATGGCATTTGCCATTTTGTCTTTACTTGCTAGCATCCTGCGGAATCCGGGCTAGTGGTGGGGCACGAGTCGTTGATGGGCAACTTGAACACTGGCTTGAAGAGCATCATGAAGAATCACCTGCGTGCGGGCAGTGAATTTTAGTGCATATTCCCATTACCAAATTGAAGGGTATATTTAATAGGCAGGGATGCAGGGATAGTTAAAGCGGTTTCAGACCCAACATGTTCAAACAGCAATTAAATACCAACATGTTCTTCACCAATTTTACTCCCGTACCCCCGAGAGTTTCGAAGCCGAAGTCAAGTCTGTGCTTGACACAAGGTTGGCCATCACTCACTGATCCGTGGATGCTCAGCGGCCTTACAGCCAGCGGGCCGGATTCACATAAATAATGCAATAATTTCGACTACATAGATAAATGTGTGATCAATTTTTTGAAGCAATTCCTGGTCAAGGGACGGGTCTTTTGATATTTCTGCACGACAGAGGCCAAATAGTAAGCCGTGCCAGCCAAGCGATAGTTTTCAAGAATCATCTTTGCCCGGGCATCAGACAGGCAATCCTAGGTTTCTATAAAATCATAGAAGTTAAATGGAGTCAGCACTGCAACATCCATGTGAACTGTTTCACCTGGCAAGAGACTTCCACAGGGCAGCGAGGAAAAATCACCCGCTGGGTTGCTGTCCACCAACGAGCTGGAAGTGCATCTAAGCCTCCCAATAAAACATAATAAAACCATAGACAATACATTCTATCTAGCTAGCAGGAGGTGATTGAACAATAAATCATACCAATTGACCAGCCTTCCTCTTTCAGAGCATCCTTTGTCTTTTCAGACACCGAGCGAAACAGGTGAACGTTCATGGGTCAGAAATCCTAAATACCCAAAGGGCAGGCTACAACCTTTGATCCAAAATGATTTCTGTCACATGAGCGGGCTCCAAAACCATTCAATTGTCCAAATTTGCACTGTGCCAAATCAACCATCAGCGACAAATGCTGCAGGCAGGGCAGTGGGGGATGGCGCCTGAAGAAGTCCAAGAAAAAGAGGATACCATAGGATACCTAAACCTATCATTGAGCCTGTGGCTACAGCCACCAAAATCCTCCAAAATCCTCCAAATCATGATTTCTGCCCGAGGGCGTTTTTTTAGCCCGAATGCCTTTCAGGCAAAAATCCTGTTTCAGGCAGGAATTATAGCCCGAATGAATTCCTAGGTATATATCCTGATTAGTTTAACAAATTTAATGATTAGTTTACCCAATTTCATCGATATCTACCTCCTTTCTCGGGTCGTTTACTCGTCGTACTGCGGCCTGTAGGAATAACCAGCCACTGGCGACAATTCGCAGGAGCAGCTCGATCGCAAAGAGGCTATCAAAGGTGATGCCTTCGAAATCCGTGAGATATCTGGATGTGGGTCAAAATGGAAGACCTAGGGGACCACAGATGTTAGTCTAGTTTAGTATTAACCATCCATAATTTTGGGGTACCTAATTTTGACCCATACCCATCTGTGGATGGGCCAGCGAAATCTGAATCACCAGTTGGTAACTCTTGGGAACTATAAAACACTGTAAATTTCATATGATTTCATGGGATAAAAGAATGGGATAAACATGGATAAACCATCTATACTAACTGGTGCAGGATTTCGTAACCATCCACGGTATCTGGCCATATCTGGACATTAAAGTCGAATAAGATCACTGGGGTAAACCACCCATACTGGGGATATCATTGATTTGGATAGAACAGGGGTATGATGTGGATACCATCTGGTTATTTAACATAGCCACGGAAAATCACTATTTTTAATAGGTAAACCATCTATAAATGGGCCATTTTCCATGGCAATCTTAAATAACCAGAGGGTACCTCCATGATATTCATGGATGTGTTTCAGGATAATGGAGGACATGGATACACCATTTTACAGTCATTGTATGATATTGTGGAACGCTGTAACATTGTACAAGACCGGAAAAAATGCTGGGGCAATCCTGGCAGTGGAAAGAACTTCAGTGAACAAACATGCTATTTATGGTTGTTTCATCCCTTATACTTGGGATAGATAGCAAGATGTGAGCCAGTCCTTTAAGAATTATAGTTATAATATAATCATCTACTAACTTCACAGTTAGAAAACCGATGAAAACATCACTGGATACCCACCTTTTTTCCCATCCACTGGACGTGCAGAACTGGACTGGCACTGGGACGAACGGGACGAACGGGCCCGTTCCCCGCCTAGGCTGCGAAAGATACCACGTTCATCGCTGTAGTAGGCTCCATCAGATCGCCCCAAGTTTTGTCCAGTCTCTCGTCCCGACATCTCAAACTCCAACAGCATCACCTGCAGGTGGCTTTCAGGTCCACCTGCATCTTTGTGTTTCTGCATATGCCAGTGTGTTACTTGTATATCATGTAGATATTGCATATCAGGTTGGTGGTTTTAACCATCTTGAAACATATTAGTCAATGGGAAGGATTATCCAATTATGGAAAATAAAAAATGTTTGAAACCACCAACCATATATATATATATGTATATACTGTATATATATATAATATAATCTAACTAATAGTGTTTATCCTCATATACAATATATATATATAATGATCGAGATGTGCGTTAACTTTCATGTATACAAAGTATCACGTGGTTCATGCATAGGGCCAAATAATATCATGCATCAATTTATGTACATCAGTATGTACATAAATATTGTGTACACACATGTCTGCACATCATATTATATTATACAGGCATGGTGATACACATCGATAGATGCTTATACACATCAAATAAGACGAATAAATCATTGAAATTGATATCTCGTATTCATATCACATAAATGTGTATAGAAATATGTACTCTAAATTCACCAACGTGATTCTGCGCCTTTGTTTGCATAGTTTGGATATGTTTGCAGGATATATCTGGACTACAACGAAGCTTTGAAAGGGTCAGTACTTGCAACTCGGAATCATTTCTAGATATAATGAATAATTGAAAAAACATTAAACTCATGCATTTGAAAACATGGACTTGTTTAATGGATTATAAATGAATCATCCAAATTTGGTAACACGAATTGTTATTATTGCTAAAACTTGATTTGTTTAAAAGAAAACACCATCTAATAGCTTGTACATGATAGCTGTTTTGGATGACGTCAGTACTGCGGTTGGCCCAAAACATCCAAGACCGCGATCTTTCGAAACAGGGGGATGTTATGCAAAATACGAAGATGGCTAAGATGGGCTTGTCTGAAAATGAGGTACCCTCTGGTAATTTAACGTAGCTATTGAAAATGGCCCATAGAAATAGTGGATTTTCCCATTAAAAATGGTGATTTTCAATAGCTATGTTAAATTACCAGAGGGTACACCCAAACGTTGATGGTTAATCATCATTTTCCCTATGGCATCCTATGGCTATTTTAGAGTATAGGAGTCCGTATTTTCAGACACACTCAAATGAATGGAACATAATGGAACTGATCAAAAAGAATGGAACTGATCATTGCACACATTTTGGATAATTACGTATAATTATCCTATTTCAGACAAATTCAACGTGCATAGTAAGAACTTTTGAAACCAGCTTGGAATGCTTGGGTGACCATGACATACCATGACCGCCTCGGAAACCGAGTGACTAAGGCATTAAGAAAGACTAAGAACGATGCAACCGTGTCCAAGTACTTCATAACAAAGTTGAAACCTGGCGCGACGACACTCCGTGGCCGCTCTTGCAACTATCCAAAAGTAATGTCGACCTTGGAGGATAGAACAACAGCAAAATCCAGAACAACAAGCACCAAGACACTGGTCCCCAGTTCTTTTTCTATAATTTTCTATATGTTTTCCAACAAAATAGGGGAAACACAATAGGCATATAGGGGGAACTTTATTCATACCAACTTGATATTTGGCAACCCCTGATGAACGGCAATTTCTCGCATGGCGAGCAGCTAAATTTTTACGGCGATATAGCGGTGATGTATAAAAACCGAGGCTTTCCCGGAACATGAAAAACATGACTTTAGATCTTTTAGATCTATCCATGTGAAAAAACTGGATACCAAGATGTTCCAAGATTTTGTCACAAGGTAAATAAAATGTCGCATGGCCAAATTAAGGTCCTTGTGATTTACCCAGATTACTGGTTGGCCCCATAGGAAATCCCATATTACTTGGTTGTATTTGTTTGCAATTTACCAGGATTACTAAACCCCCAACCCCCCCCGGCCTCTCCGGAGCCAGGTGTCCTCTTCCTCCTCGGAATCCCTGACCTTATCAAGGACGTGAAGCTAAAGTCTCACCAAGTGTTTAAAACAACTTGTTATAACATGTCTGGTTGGTGGTATACCTGCCCCTTTGAAACATATGAAAGTCAGGTGGGGTTATTATTCCATATTATTACCATATTATGATGGAAACATAAAATTCATGTTCCAAACCACTAACCAGATGTTGCTATGGTTACCGACCAAGGTAACACGTTGTAACACGTTGTAACTATGGGATGTACATCGAAGCCATGATGTGGTTGAACGATGTTGAACATGGCAAATCGATCAGCAAATTTCATGATCCGCTCAAAAAAGGTGGTTGAACTTTGGTAAAACACTGATAATGTCCTTTGGTAAAACACTGATAAGTAGTGGAACTTTCAATCTTAGAAGTGGTTCATCAACCATGTTCATTGCTCCAAATATGTGACCAATGATAGGCTTGGTTTATGAACATTCTTTTGAGCCTCTACAGAAACCTGTCTGCGTTTTGTTCGTTCGCGCTTCCATAACCGATATGGGATCGACCCGGGACAGGTGTAGACACTGCAACAAGCCGTTTTCTCTTCCAAGTTACCCTCTGGTTATTTAACATAGCCATGGGAAATGGCCCATAGAAAAAGATGGTTTACCTATTAAAAATAGTGATTTTCCATGGCTATGTTAAATAACCAGATGGTACATACTTCTCTATAGGAGAGCCTTATTGCATTGTATAATATTGTATATCCGGCATGACCGTGTGTCCCAATACTTGACGTTTGCAGCACATTTACCCTCCATACTTCTACCCAGCCAATGGCTTGACACCTCAATGAGTTGATTTATGCTTTTTGTTTACAGAATATCTCGATTTTGTCACCCAAAATAGGGAGTTTCCGACGTTCCCATGTAAACCACTGGGGTGCCGAAGCGCCATATGTGCAATGATATGGTTTGAAGTCGGCGATGTGCCCGTCAATCTCATCGATAAGGACTCGGCAGCGCGCGATCACCCAAATCATGAGTTACAAAAGGGACCCGGTGACACCTGTTCGCTCTAAAAGGACCGGTTGCTGGGCAAAAGGGAAACAAACAACGAAAACTTCGTGACAAATGGGGTGACCACCAATATGTAACCAACGTGACCCAAATAGCCCTGTACCTACCATTTGTTTTGCAATTAATCAAATTACTCTCTGGTAAACTAACATAGCTATGGAAAGTCACCATCTTTAATAGGTAAATCAACTATAAATGGGCAATTTTCAATAGCAAACTGTTAAATTACCAGAGGGTAATCTATATGTGAAGAGCGCCCAATCACAAAGCAAAGGTTCTTTGTGTGTCTCCACGTGGCCTCGATTTGTTTCGTAGCATTAGTTCTTCAACCTATAGGAACTTATCATCAATTTGGCTTCGTCATTCAAAAAAAACTCAGGAAAGTCTTCACAATCATCAAATTTCAAACCTAGGGAAACAGCAAACATATCATATCCCAAGTTCAGTCTTGGGAATTGGATGTTTTTCCATTGGGGATACATAAACTATCTACTCCTCCAGACTGGGGATCGTTCATTCGCAGTTGGCATGCTAGGCAAACATCACAACTTTCTCAAAGACCTCCAAAATGAACTTTGAGCAGCATTTGACTCTAATATGACACACTCAGACACATACACACACATGTGTGTGTTTGTGTGTGTGTATTAAGTATTGTAAAATTACTGAAAACATATTCCTGACTGTATGACTGAAAACTTGTGAACCAAGCACATTCACTTGTGGGTTTGCCACGATAGCACTCCATTCTACTGTCCTTCTGGGGAGAAGACACCAAGGTCCAAGGTTTCATGAATTTTAATGATTAATATACTCAATGGGAATTTCAATATACTTAATGGCCTATGTAAGGGAATATCCCCACAAAATATGGCCTTATATGGTACTAACGTACCTCCCTTTTAGGATCCTGAAGATCTCCCATTGATATACCCTCTGGTAAACAGATGTGGCCCTGGAACATCCCCAGTTTGCAAATAATTTTCATGCTTTAAACTGTGATTCTCCATTGGACTGGCGCCCAAGATAAACTGAGACATAGTGACGGGGCTTGGGTTCACCAATTGGACCACTGTAAAACGAAGACTCAACCGGTAGATGTGTACATGCATGTTTTTAAGTAATGTTGGATCCTGATTGGAAATTAGGTTCGCTATTGTGGCAAAAAAAATCAGCTATTCAACACCCCTAATTTGATCTTCCGGTTCACTATTGTGGCAAAAAAAATTGCATACCATGTTTTTATATATTTTCCGAAAAAACAAAATTGGTTGTTTTTTTAATGAAAGATCCAATCTCTTATTAAACCCTCATTAAAGAACAGTTTCTCCGCAAATTTCCAAGGCACTGGACCATGGGAGGGTTCAATTCACTTTTAGTAGGTTTGTTGCGAGGGTTCACAGTTGCAGCATTTTTTTCCTGAGGTGGTCCTGGTGTCAAGAGTATTTTGTTTTACAAAAAACAACATGTTCATTCTCTTTGTTTTTCTCTTTGTCCTTCTCTTTGTTTTTTTGTTTTTATTTCTCTTTCCTCTTCGTCCTTCTCTTTTTTTCTTTCTCTTCCTGTTTCTCTTCATCTTGCTCTTTCTCTCTCTCTCTCTCTTTCTCTTTCTGTCTTTGTTTCCTTTCTCTTTTTTTTCCTCTTTCTCTATTTGTTTTCTTCCTCTATCTCGTTTTCTTCCTATGTTTTTTTTCTTCCTCGTTCTCTTTCCCTTGTTACACCTTTCATAAAAAAACATGAGGTGCTAAAAGTAACGCAATCAACATGCTGAACCGCACTCACTACAAGTACTACCAGTAATACGGAATTAAACTCAGTTTTAAAGGGACTACGGAATTCGTTTGAATGGGGGGCTACACACTAGTCAGGACGAAACATTACATTGAAAAACAGAATGTTCAATACAATATGTTTTATATTATATATTAGCATTATGTTGTATTAAATTATATTACATATTACAAATTGAATTATATATTATAATATATTAAATTAAAAAACGAAACATATTATATTATATTGTGATATAAAGATAAATATTTTAACCTATATATATCTATAGATTGTATAGTATGATTTAAATAAGTCTTGTATTGTACTAAATTATGAATATATATATATAATATATATATTACTTTAACTTATATATATATATAGCAAATAAATAAGAACATTATTTACATAATGTTACATATCAAATATTATATGCTATATATTTTATTTTAGATATCAAACATTAAATAAAGAAAATATATTGTATAATTAAAAAAACCTTGGTTAAACAGTGAATATCAAAAATACAATAAGTATTAAATTATAATATATATATATATACATAATATATATATGTATTATTTTTTATCATTTTTTCATTATTTGTATATATTCATGAAATATACATAAAACAAGGTATTATGATATGATATGATATCAAGTAATAATATTATACAAAATATTTATTTTATTTCAAATTTTGTTCTAATATATTTTAAAAAATCTGTTACTTTATATTCTTTTGTACTTGCTCAAATATATTAAATTTTTAAAAAAACAACAAATTATTGTATATATAAAAATATATATCTATATATCTTGTATATTTATTTATATATAAGATAAATTATATTATTAGAAATAATATATATATATATATATATAGATCAAAAAATACAACATATACCGTCTTCATGTTTCCCCGGTCTCGCTTCTGCGCCTGGCTCGACGTCATCCGAACGCGCTTCTGCGGCGAGAGCGATCGGATCCGGTTGGTTAAAAACAGGGGCCACCGTTTACGATAGGTCAGCTAATAGTGGTAAATATGAGGAAATCGTTAGTGGTAATGGCCAATAATGGTTAATCATGGATGTACTCTCTGGTAAACCAACAGAATTATTGACAATCACCACTTTTAATAGGTAAATCAACTATACATGGGCCATTTTCCATAGCTATGTTAGTTTACCGGAGGTTAACCGGGGGGGGTAACGGGTTCGTGGCATGTCACAAACAGTTCACAACGCCTTTTTTTAAAATATCCCGTGGTGTTAATATCTGCTTGCAAGGAGCTAGTACATGTTTCCACATGTTTCATACATTCAACAGAAGACATGTCCAAACAAACAAACAAAGTCTCACTGGGCCCCTAAAAATGAATTACTATGTACCTTCACCCTCAACATCCCTTACTATACCTATCAATCATATTTTATCATATTTCAGTCCAACATGTTGTTATGAAATCCCAGTTTTTGGTTTTAGACGTCTTTTCTCCTACGGCTGATTTAGGTACTCGAAACGTTCATGATCAGCTGGGTTTCTCTCGTGGCAGCATTGCCTTTTCACCCACCAAGCGTTTCTTTCTCATAATCTAATTTAATAACTCCAGCAATGGAACACCTCTATAATCACTGGCTATTTATACCCTCAGGTAGTCCAACGATGCTAGCTGAAATTTCCCGCACTAAATCAAGGTTTCCATAGGGAACAGAATCAAGAAATGTTTTTTTTCCAGCAAACCACGTTTGATTACCGGAGGGTATCACTATTTTATATTAATGATTGTCCCAGCATGTCCCAACTGTTTTGCCAATGAAAACAAAGGGATTGTTTGCACAGCAAACCAGGATATCCAGGATCGATCACTGGAGGTGTGCCTGGATTGCATCCCATTCTGTTTGGTTTTATACCCTCCCAACCAGTTTCATTGATTAGCTGTTGTATTCCCATTATGCCCATTGACTATCTAATGCTTCAACAATTGTTTCCCATGTCTCAATGTTTCCTAATATTTCCAGTTTGTGGTTTAATCTGAATAATTTCCCAGTTCATTATTTAAATTACCCTCTGGGAATCAAACATGGCAATCCAAAACCCCCCTTTCAGTTTGATATGTTTCCCATCAAAACAGGTATATCCATTGTATGTCCATTCCTGACATGTCTAGTTTATCCATTTCCATCGATGATGGCCAAATTGTATGAATATTCTATCTTAAAATGTATATAAAATGCCAGTAGTAACGCGCAAGGCGGCGGCGGAAGTTTCAAAAATAGGACGCCTATAGGTGAGGTTGGTTGTTGTGAATCACGGATGCAGAGCGAATCCATTGATGGACCGAAAGGTGGTTGGCGCTGTGTTTCTTGGAGTGGCTGTAATGGTTGCAGTGGTCACCTCACCACAACTGCTGGGTGTAGTGTGGTGTAGTGCAGTTGTTGTTGTAGTTGTACTTGTAGCCGTAGTGTAGTGGAGTTGTAGCGGAGTTGTAGCTGTAATGTAGTGTAATTAGTGTAGTGTAGTTGCAGTTGCAATTGCAGTTGTAGTTGTGGTGCGGTGCAATTAGTGTAGTGTAGTGTAGTGTAGTGTAGTGTAGTGTAGTAGTTGCGATTGTAGTTGTAGTTGTAGTTGTAGTGTAATGTAATGCCATTAGTCTAGTGTAGTCTAGCGTAGTTGTAATGTAGTGTAGTTGTAGTTGTTTTTGTAATTGTAGTTGTAGCGCGCTGCAGTGTAATTAGCGTAGTGTAGTGTAGTGTAATTTGTAATGTAGTCTAGTTGTAATTGTAGTTGTAGCTGTGGCAGTACTGGTAGAAGAAGCAGTAGCAGTAGCAGTAGCAGTAGCAGTAGCAGTAGCAGTAGCAGTAGGAGTAGGAGTAGGAGTAGGAGTAGGAGTAGTAGTAGTAGTAGTAGTAGCAGTAGCAGTAGTAGTAGAAGTAGGAGTTGTTGTTGTTGTTGTTGTTGTTGTTGTTGTTGTTGTTGTTGTGTTATCAGTGTAATGTAGCGTAATTAGATGTAATTACTGCAGTGTACTTTCCTTGGTGTAGTGTAGTGTAGCGTAGTATATTTGTAGTTGTAGTTAACCATCTATCTGTCTACCTAACCTATCCTATCCTAACCTATCCTGTCCTATCCTATCCTATCCGATCCTATCCTGTCCTATCCTATCCTATCCGATTCTACCCTATCCTATCTATCCTATTTATCCTATCTATCTATCCGATCTATCTATCTATCTATCTATCTATCTATCTATCTATCTATCTATCTATCCTATCTATCTATCTATCTATCGATCTATCTGTCTATCTACCTGTCTGTCTATCTATCTATCTTTCTGTCTTTTTTTCTTTTTGTTCTTTTGTTATTTCTTTCTTTCTCTCTTTATTTATTTCTCGTTTTCTTTCTTTCTTTCCTTCTTTCTGTATTTTTCTTTTTTTTCTTATCTTATCTTATCTTATCTTTCTGCCTGTCTATCTATCTATCTATCCATCCATCTATAAAATCTTATCTTATCTGTCTTATCTGTCTTATCTTCTCTTATCTTGTCTAATCTATCCTGTCTATCTATCTATCTATCTAATCTATTCTATTCTATTCTAATCTAATCTAATCTATCTAATCTAATCTAATATATTCTAATATATTCTAATCTAACCTAATCTAATCTAATCTATCTATTCTATCTATCTATCTATCTATCTATCAAATCTGATCTAATCTGATCTAATCTGATCTAATCTGATCTATCTAATCTAATCTAATCTTATCTTATCTTTTCCTATCTATCTATCTATCTTTCTATCTATCTACCTATCTATCTATCTATCTATCTGGAAGTTGTTTTTGAAATGGACAGTATCAAAAGCGCAGCCATCCTGCGAGACTTCCTCAATTTCCGAAGTTGGCCACATCAGATACGAAGCAATTCCGCGAGACTTCCTTCAAAAATGGAAAGTTGAGCGCAGAGCTGACGCCCTTACGGTTTTTCCAGCTGCGCCTGCCACGAAAAAGTTATGCAAGGTCGTATGAAGTGCTGCACCTGTCACGCAAAATCATCTTAACAAACCTGAAGATCTGATGCTCCAAAATGCAACCCCTCTCAGGAAATCAGCGCGCTGACCTCCTAAGATCTCTGTAGAAAATGTCTTTCGTACTGCGCCTGCCACCCGAAATGCATCTTTGCAGATCCTCTTCAAATGTTCCAGGCCTGAAACTGCTACAAACCCTCACGTCTTGCTGATTTTTTACAAGGTGCAAAATCCCTTGCACCTGCCACGCAAAGACACATCTGAACAGCCAAAAGTGGTCCGAACATTCTCTTTTTCACATCTTGACTTGGAAATGTGCTTCGCGCCACAACAACGTGCACTTTTTCGACATCTCAACTTCCAAAAGTGCTCCGAGGCTGAGGTTTTTTTCGCATTTGAACTTCGAAACGTGCTTCCCGCCACAACGGCGTACACTTTTTGAATATCTCAACTTTCAAAAGCGCTCTGAACGTCGTGTGTTTTGTGCATTTTGACTTGTAAATGTGCTTCGCGCCAAAACGGCGTGCAATTTTTCAACATCTCAACTTCCAAAAGTGCTCCTAACCTGTCAGTTTTTTATCACTTTTGACTTCGAAGTGTCCTTCGCGCCACAACGGCATACACTTTCTCGACATCTGAACTTCCAAGAGTGCTCGGTACCCGGTATGTTTTGTACATTGTGCTTCACGCAACAACGACGTAGACTTTTTGAACGTCTTAACTGCCAAAAGTGCACTGAACGTGGTGTGCTTTGCACATTTTGACTTGGAAATGTGCTTCGCGCCACAACGGCTTTCACTTTCTTGACATCTGAACTTCGAAAAGTGCTCGGAACCCGGTGTGTTTTGTACATTGTGCTTCACGCCACAACGGCGTAGACTTTTTCGACATCTCAACTTCCAAAAGTGCTCCGAGGCTGAGGTGTTTTGTGCATTTTGACTTCGAAACGTGCTTTGCGCCACAACAGCGTAGACTTTTTGAACATCTCAACTGCCAAAAGTGCACTGAATGGGGTGTGCTTTGTACATTTTGACTTCGAAGTGTGCTTCATGCCACAACAACAGCGTGCCCTTTTTCGACATCGCAACTTCCAAAAGTGCTCCGAACGTGCGGTGCTTTTAGCTTTTTCACTTGCAAATGTGCTTCGCGCCACAACGGCGTGCAATTTGTCATTTCTCGTCTCCCCAGATGGCTCTGCACCCGCCGCTTTAGCGAGCTTACTTTTCGACCCTCCGGAGCCACAAATCATGCGACTTTTCTACCCTTCCCCGCACCTGCATCTTCTTTCTTCTGACTCTTTCTCTTTTCTGATCTTCTCTCTTCTTCTCTTCTCTTCTCTTCTCTGACTCTTCCCACCTCTGCTTTTCCATCTGTCCATGTTGTCGGAAGTTTGACTTCTGAACTTCCTTCGAGAATTATATATCAAACATATCTATTTCCATCATTGTATATCCATTGTTTATCCATTACCCTCTGGTAAGCTAACAGTTTGCTATTGAAAATGGTCATAGAAATAGTTGATTTACCCAAAAAATAGTTGGTGATTTTCCATAGTTATGTGAGTTTACCAGAGGGTGCATGGCCAAGCTTGGCTTTCCATGCGCAACGTTCAGCCTGAAACTCTTCTTCCGCTTCCGTAGACATCACCTGGAAGCACGATGAGCTGCAGATCGACTGGGACTGATTGTCTCATCGTATTATGTATATGTTTGTGCATATCATATCATATATATACACGATATCCAAATATAAGTATATATATATTATGTATATATATACTCTATATTTTAATGGATATGGAATTTGATATATACATACATATACATGCGCATCATGTATATATATATATACACAGTAACTATAAATATATATATATTATACGTCGTGTATATATGTATATACATACAGTCTATATATACACGCTGCTCAAGTGACTGGGGTCTTATACATAATCTCTGCAGACCTCAGCCTCTGACAAACACCACTTGAAGAGGTAAACCAACTGTAAATAGCCATTTCATTAGTTATGGATAGCTATGGAAACTGGTTAATCAACTATGAAAAATCACCATGTTTAATGGGTAAATCAACTATAAATGGCAATTTTCCATAGTTACGTTAAATTACCAAAGGGGAAATCCCAAAGCCTTTTGAATGCTGTTTGCTGCTGGTTTTCCCCAATCATACTCACTATGGTTTGTATCCGTTTCATGTTCCCAAGAAAAATCAGAACATCCTTTAGGATCAGTATTCCATAACTTTTCTTTAAGCAAAGGCAAGGAAAACCGGTGATTGAAACCACCACCAGCCAGATCTATATTGGTGATATTACCGTGCCATACCATTACGTGACATTGTGTTATATTTAAAGTCATTAAGCATTCCATAATCTTGCTTATGTTCCATAATGACGACGCTTCGGTATACCAAAACATGGATAAAGCACACCAGTTGAATTTCCGAAGGAGGCCAATGGGTACCATCCCAGATTTGTGGTTGATTTGTTGGCTATACCGTATTACATGGGTTGATTTTCTATACTCAATAGACCCAATAGAGGTTGACACTTGGGAATGGTCGAAGAAAAAACATATTGATCATCACAATTATGCCAATAACCGCAATAGTGACAGTAATAATTAATCTTACTTATTATCAGTAGATACAAATAATGATTAGGATTATCATGAGTAATTATCATTAGTAATATGCAATTGCGATACAACTGTTAGACAATGATCCAAACAACAGTAGTACTATTGCCTACCGATAGTTTCTGGCATTGTGGACGATCCCTTTATTCAGAAGATCACCAGTATATTTGCCATTGCATTACCATATGTTATCATCTGGTTGGCAGTTTCAACATGTGTCAACCCCTCTGAAAAATATGAGTTCGTCAGATGGGATCATTATTCCTAATAATTATATGGAAACATAATCCATTCATGTTCCAAACCACCAACATATAGCATTACCATATATTATCATGTGATATTTACTATATATACGGGTGATATTACCATATATTATTCTAGCAATTTCTTGCCCATATTCCAGGGCCGCACATTCCATGCCAAAATAGCTGGGGAAATTCAGGGAATTGTGAAGACCCCTTTCAGGTGAAATTTGTATTTCATACAGTTTGCCGAGTACTCCTTTTCTTCTGGCACGTTGTCGACTGCACATATTCTTCCCCAAAGAAGATACTTACTTTCAACCATTTCTGGAAATGTCATAATAATGTTGAGCTTTCCAAAAATGGATTAATTACAGTAATAATGTTCTTATGGGAATGTGTCATCTACACTTTTAAGAATCTTTTCAAGATCTCAAAACCCAATTCATAAGCTTTCAGCTTATGTTCTGGCACGCTTGGCTGGCCTTTCACCAGCAGCGCCATCCCTATGTTTCTTGACATCTTTGTGGCCCAAGAGCTCTGCACAACAGAATCTGGGAACACAAATCATCGACGATCCTGTTTTCTTCCGTGCAATATAATTCCACCGATAGAGTACGATGCCACCCCTGGAGTGCGCTAATTTTCTGGAATGCGAAAACAAAACAGTATGCGTGGCCCCCTTCGACCTTCCCCATGGATCCAGCACCATTTGTTTTTCATCACATACCAGAAAATTATCACACTCACCCTGCTGAGCCGCTGGACTCCTTATTTTTTTTGGCCAAAATGGCCTGGAATGCGATAGTATGTGAAACTACCGGCGTCTCAGGTGGGAACTCCATCTTCCCCATATTCCAGAATACGTGATTCCAGACCATTTTAGCCAAAAAAAACGAAAAAAAAACGTTGAAAACGTTTCATTCACCGAGTACGAAGATTTTATGGAATGCACAGATCTTGCCGAGTGTGATGATTTGACAGTATGAGTACCTCCCCAGCTGTGGAGTGCGATGCCCTCGCTGGAGTGCGAAAAAATTGTGGAATGCGAAGAATTCCGAGTATGCGTGGCTGGTATATAGACCACATAGGGAAATTTCGGGGCCAGAATCAAAATTCCAATCCCAAAGCCAGCCCAAACTTCCAGGGGCACACCAGTGGGTTCTATTTTTCCGAGTTCACTTTGGCTTGGGTGAGGCCCCGGGGAAGAAACTTGCCAATTTTTACTCAGCCAGCCTTTAATAACGTTACCTTTGACAACCCTGTCCTTCTTCGGTAGACAAACCAGGAAACTCCCTTATCAAAGCAGTCTTCAATTCATCCAACGTCCACAGCTGCTTTGGAACGACATAGGGGATAGAAAGCTGTGGAGGGGCATTCAGTGGATTCGCCATGGCCCAACTGTTCCCTCCAGATTGAGCTGAAATGCCTATCAAAGTAACATACCAAAACCCAGTTCTGGAGTCCGATGAAAACATGGTATGTGAAGATTGTCTGAATATGGGAATGTTGCCTCTAGAATTATCATATGATATCTATACTATATATATACTGGTGATATTAACATATATTATCATATAATGACTCTCCCTTACATTACCACATATTATCATATGTTTGTGGTTGTGCACACCCATCAACTGGCTAAATCCCCATACCATCCCGAAAAAAAAAGGTGTAAATCTAAACATGTTCAAATCACCATTAAAAAGCATAGCCCAAGAAAACTAACACAGAATCAATAGAACATGTCCAAAAGGGATTAGAAGCATAATAATAGTGTATGTGTATCACCATTCCAAAGGGATTAGAACAACAAAAACACACATACATTGGATTGGTTTAAGGGAAAATCTACAGGAAACCATGGTTTTTACCATCAAATATAGGGCTTTCCGGTTAAAATTTTCCCATCATCCAATTCTATGACACATACACTCTCCAATCCCTTTGGAATGGTTAGACATTCGGCACCTCGTTGGATGCTTCCCGCACTGTGGACAGATCCACGAGGTGTCGTGGCTCATCGCGTTTCTCGGCCTGGAGATGTAGCGGTGGTTTGAACCCCCTCTGAAAAATATGACAACTCGTCAGTTGGGATGATTTTCCATTCCCAATATGATGGGAAAGTCATGAAATTCCATGGTGTTTGGAACCACCAACCAGTTTAAATATACGAACTGGTACTTCATACTACCTCCGGGGCCTCGTGGTCTGGCACGCCCTCATATTTAAATGTCGTTACCGTAGGAATATGATGGAATATTCATATCTTTAAGATTCCTTAAGTGTGTCATGACCAGTACCACATGGATCATATAGTCCACTCATGTGGTGACACTTCGTTATCGATTTCATGATCTCGGTGGTGACGCTGGCAGGCCTGTTGTTGATTGTTGAGTTATTCAACGTTAGATGCAACATTTAAGCGGGATCCTAGGCAGGGTCAAGGTGCAGTGGTGCAATGACCCTCATGTCACGTCTTTGCCCAGCTGCAGTGCTTGAAGGATTCACGTCTTTGTTTTGGCATTGGACTGGTTTTATTGTGGCAAGTCGCAACAGAACGCGAAAAGCATCGACAGAGGGTGCTGTGGGTTCTCAGGAGTTATTATCCAGCAAAGATTTACAGCTAAACTAAATCAATCAAAAGTATGCAACCGGTACCCATGGATGGGAGTTAGCGCGTGTTGAAGAGTTCAGCTCAGATTTCAGCAATACAATGAGGGTTGATGTTCCCATCCTTTTCCCATCATTTTCATTTGTGTTTTTCATTCAGCCGACCAGAGATTCATCTCGTGCGGTCTCGCATGCTAAATTCACAGCATCAACCCTGAAAGTCTGGAAGGTAGGACCATCATTTTCATAGATGTTCCAATATCTTCCAGTACCCAAATGCTCCATGGTGCTGGAATATTTACCAACATTTGCCCTAACAATCACCCAGTTTTGTAGGTAAATATACCATGCATGGAGCATATGGGCTATTGGCCCATCCTTTTCCCAGCTTCCCAATTCATCCAGCACATCTGACCTCTAGGGGCCAGTGGTAATGCAGTTCTTCGTCGACTTCAGCCACGCACGGTTTCAGAGTGGGTTTCACATGACCTGGGAGATGAGCGCCCAGGCCTTGAGGGGCCTTAAAAAAGGGACCCCCCAGTAGCGCTTCGTCCTGTTTTTTTTTGGGGGTGGGCTTATAGATTAGATTGTCATTTATTGTGATGATTTAAAGAATTGAACAAAGGGGACCGGAAGAAAAATACCGAGTTCGCCTTCACGATTTCCGATCTGAAATTTCAGTATCGTATCTACCTCGGAAGAACTGGGGTGATGATAGAGATATATCTCTGGTGCAAAGCTACAGTCAGCTGGCAGCTGGTAACCCAAACCAGCTGAACGCGGCTGTTGGACGAATGACTTTCATGAGGCAGTTGTGAGGCAAGTGGAAGACTTTTTTTGAATCTCCAATGTCCAACTGCTGGCCTTTTCAAGGCTATGGATTAACATGGATTAATATGGATTAATTATTCTTAAATATACTACCCTCTGGCAACCAAACATTGCAATGTACCTCCCATTAAAGCCTCCACAAACGGATCGTTGATTTTTGGAGGGTGCTAAAAAAAAAACGATCACCTACCATACCCTCTGGTAAACGTTTACAGAAAACGAACTGGACAGATCCACCATGCTATTCATGGGAAAACTCACAAAATTTCTATGGCCATGTTCTATGTCGCTATGTAACAGTCATTACCAGGCAGGGTAACTCAATGGTACTGTTCGACTGTGGGCTGGCTGCCAGCGGCCAACGTTGGCCTATTTAGATGCCATCCAAGAATTGGCGCAACTGGTGCTCCGTGGCAATGCGTATCAAATATCCCACGAAAACTTGGCAGTGTTGGAATGTACCACCCTAAACCCATTCTTCCATCATAATCCGCTTCTGCTCATTGTGACAAACTGTGTCAGTATATTCGCAATGTTTAATAAACAAATTACAATATACTATATTATGAGATAACATAATGTACACTGTAATATAATGCATAATATGATATAAAATAATAACATATAATATAATATAATATAATATAATACATAGTACGATATGATATGATATGATATGACATGATATGATATGATATGATATGATATCATTTGATATAATATAATATAGTAAACATAAAACAAAACAACACAGCACAATACAATATAATATCATGACTATATGTGTATATATATATAAAGTTCCAAGTGTCATTTCAATATAAGACAATATAAGACAACATAAAATAATCTAATTTAACATAGCGATGGAACACCAGGTAAATAGGAATCGGTAAATCTATAGATAGATATAAATGGGTCATGTTCCATATTGCTGAACATATCGCTATGTTGAATTACCTGAGGCTACACTTCTAAACAACAACAAATCAAGTGGCGCATCGGAAACTCCCCCGGCTTCTCGCGGTTAAATTCCACCGAGACGTTGGAAGTACCTTGCGGACTGGAGATTGAAACCTGTGGGTAGCAGGGGGGTACTATTTTTTACGCCAAAAGTATCCAGAAACCACTTCCAAACGACTTCATCCTGGGGATGTGCATGTTGCTCTTCTTACATCTCGGATAGCTGCACACCTATGCAAAGCATTGCAAATCTAGTGGGGCCACGGCCACGACCCTTCCCCTTCCCCATACCCCCGCCTTCCCTAGAAACATCACGCGAATCCTTAGAAATTGACAGAAATCTGGCAGAACTTGGATCACAATTCACCAATTGCTTGGTGGTTTCAACGTTCCCATGAACCATATGCAAACAGTCAAGACATTTCAGGACCACCATCATCATCATCATCCCAAATATGTTTGTTTGAAATCACCAGCCAACCCAAAATTCAGCCATTGATTTTTGAGTGATTCCACCATCTATAGTGACGCTGTTGCAATGTGTAGTTCAGCCAGTCAGAGTGAAAAGGGTCCAAAATCGCAAATGGGACTAGTTGATTGTTTCAACCTGTAAAATAGTAATATCATGGGGATATCAGGGATATTAATCCATCAACAGGATCAAGAGTTTGAAACCCTCTGAAATGCATCAAATAGGAATCCGGATGTAATGGGAGAAAAGCAACTAAACAATCCTTCTGATTCATGTTTTCCAAATATTGTGAGTACGTTTCCTGCAATGTGTGCAATGTGCGCCTCAACTGCTCTAAGTGACTTACGCTCAAGTGAGAACCGGCAATGGAAATCATGTTGAATCATTTTTCCCAATCCAAGATTGTTTCCATTTGTGTGTTTCATTGCCAGATGGTAATTTGTACTAAATTCTTCAAAGCAATCACCGCAATCACTTGTCCCCCTCATCTCACTTTGCTCCCAGTGAAAGTGGAATCTGGGCAAATCAAGATTTCAGTGGTTTCAACATGTTTCAACCCTCTCAAGTCATAGATAAAGCTGGCTCTCTGGTGCATGTTTCGTGCTTGGCATCACCTGTATGCTTCGTCATGTGAAACCATTATATAAGTATAAGATGTTAGATACATCCATCTGGGCATTGGTCTCTTCACGGGTTAGCCCAAAAGACATATATGGATGGTTCACAGTACAACAAGGGCTACCCAGAAGTAGTAATCCGACAACCCAAAAACAACGCAGCCGCTTAAATGGCTAGCAAGTGGATGAGTCAACTACTTACAACTTGTAGATATCATGGGTTACAACCCATAGGAAGCGTTGATTGATACTGATCTGGTTGGTGGTTTTAACCATCTTGAAAAATATTAGTCAATGGGAAGGATTATCCCATATATTGTGGAAAATAAAAAATGTTTGAAACCACCAACCAGTGATTATTGATCTTTCCATTTGTGTAAGACCTTTCCATTTGTGTAAGGCTATAACTACAACTACAACCCAACAAACGGTCAAAAACAAGGGCATCCAGTCAATCCAGTCTCTTATGTGAAATGATCATAAATATAGCAATCATATAATATCCATATGTCAATATATGTCATATCTCCACTTTTCATAGATAAATCAGCTATAAATAGGCTATAAATGTCCATTTTCAATAGCAAACTCTTAGATTCCCAGAGAATTTTATCAAAAGAGCCACACGACATTGAAGCCGTCCTCCTTTCGCGCTGCTAACGGATACTCCAAGTCGCGATCGACAGCCGCACTTTGCTGTCCAGGTCGGGGCTACTGGAACCTGAAAAGCACACGTTTTTGGTCGAACAAATTGATGGGTTAACCAACATGGTGGATATCATGGGAAAGATTCCGGGATAGAGATCTATGAAATATGTACATATATAATCATATATATATAATAAGTATACCTAGAAAAACCTATAAATATAAGGGGTACAATGCATAAACATTGTAAGCCCGATAAACCTGGCAATTTGGGATTCACCGCATGCCATAAACCTATCATTTGGGAATGGCTTTTACAACTCATTCATGGTGATTCTGGCGATGGTTTATTGTTGGGTTTAGCACATTTAACCACATTATAAAAAAATGAAAATGTAAGGTATACAATGGCTATGTATCATTTGTAGCTATAGTTACATACTAACTCGCTGTCGTTTTTTTTCACTCTTGTCGTTTTCTGGGCAATGCACTGTTAGTGCTAAGGGGCAGGCTGAGGTAAAATGAAAGGCGAGGGGTTATTATACTGTCCCACATGTTATCGCAAGTCTGGATGAAACAGAAAGAACCTGCTTGACAGCTTGACACAACTTGCAGCCTGCAAAATCAGTCTGGATCAGCTTGTGAAGTGATGCAATAGACCCATATACTTGGAAACGCCAATGATGTAGTAGTGGGCTGTTGGTCATTTGTTCGTATCCACCACAAAAAACAAACATGGCGGCCAAATCACTCCAACCCCCCACTTCTATCATTTTCTACCTACACTACTCTACACTACCCTCTGGTAGTTTAACGTAGCTATTGAAAATGACCATTAATAGTGGATTTTCCCATTAAAAATGGTGATTTTCAATAGCTATGTTAAATTACCAGAGGGTAATCCAACCTTTGGTGGAACAAATCCACAAGATCCGCCACGCCTGCATGTCGCCTTAAGATCTGCTGAAAGGCGGTGTCCAAGCTCGAGGCCCAGAGTTCACGTTGCTCATCTGCCAGCCTGGACGAGTTCCACGAGTTCACGGATGTTCACGGCGCTGCTACAAGGAGATCAAACCACCCAACTTCAATAGGTCAGGTAGGATCCAAGATCGTAAGACTTCGTTTTTGGGGCTTCGTACTATAATATAACTTTAATATGATAAATAATAAATATCCTAATGATAATAGAGCCTAAGTACATTATATAACCTTCGTAAGGCTTCATACTTATGATACAAGAGACCCTTTACAGCTCCAGCAATGCTGGAAGATACCCCATGAAATATCCAACTCCTGCTCAAGGTCATCTGTATCCCACGAATCCAGAGTGCTTCAAGAAACCCACGCCGAAGCACGGGTTTTCTCCCAATACATGTGTATATATAATATATAATATATATAATATATAATATATATAATATATAATATATATAAAATAAAAAATAAAATATAATATATAATATATAATATATAATATATAAAATATAATACATAATATACAATATATAATATATATAACATATAATATATAATATATAGTATAATATATATAATATATATATGTTATATATTTATACATGTTATATATGTATGTTATATATACATATAAAGACATGGGTATAGATAGATGGTCTCCTTTTTACACCCTCATGGTTCCTTTACAGTAAAACAACACGTTATTCTTGAATAGTGTTCCCCTGAATCCAAATAATATATGAGTTTGTCTGAAAATTGGGGGTGCCCATATTTCGATTGTTTAATCATCAATTTCCCTACGATAGTGGTTGCATGTTGGGTGAATTACATTTTTTAGACACACCAAAGTATCAAATGTTCAATATATGTGTATGTATATATACATGTGTATAACGCCACATATATATAATATATACTGTATATATAATTACTAATATGTTTTATTTGTTGTATGATATGGAATCAGTATCATTATTGTTAATGTTACATATTACTACTCTTATAGGTATTTTATAACGTATTTGTAAAAGGATGTGCACACAGTAAAAGCACATATGTGTTGCATATTACTCTAGATCAAAATCTCACGGCATTCCCAGAGTTCGTTCGCGTTCGTAGACGAAGGCGCAAGAGGAGCGACTGTTGCTGTTCGGACAAGATGTCTAACAGCTCCTGGAACGAACTGGACAGGTGAACCAACAACCAACTTGGTCCCCAGAAAACAATGGCACACAAATATATATATATATATATTTATGTGTATATATATATATATTTATGTATATTTCTAAGCTGTATATTTCTGCATATTTCTGTATCTATATTCAAGTAAAGATTATAGTCAAAAAAAAACTTGAAAATGAAGAACACTTATTCAAAACCAGGTTTTGGTTCTACAGATCTATAGGCGATATATATATATTATATCAACTAGGATTATCATTCTATCATATCAAAATTTCTCGAAGGCAAATGAGCAATGGCTAATGAACAGCATATAATCCCCATTATGTATTGATATGTATAATATATATATATAATCATATATATATATATGAAGGGCAGTATAATCCCATATAATCATATATATATAGTCATCAAACAACAGTGGGGTCTTAACACTCATCCCATCCCCCATTACAGTTATAGCCCTGCCCCGCAGCTATAAGTCAGTTGCAACTTATATATCTGGTTGGTGGTTTCAAACTCCCTTAATGTTTTTCGGTGAATGGGAAGGATCATCCCATATATTATGGAACAAAAACATGTTCCATAGCACCAACCAGTTATACAATGTTATAACCCTATTATCCTATTCATGAAATGATCACCCCGCAGAAATCACCACTTGTATTAAATATATAACTGGCATAACCTGTGCTTTTTGGTGTACATCTCGCAGCAGTGACGCCCATCCGCCATCAAAAGAACCTGCAACTCCATGGTGAAGCTCCCGGCGGATGGCGCACGAGGCGCTGCGACGCGACGGAGTGTGAATGTTTGGTGGATGTGGGGATGGTCCACCAAAATAGCTGGTCAATGGCGTGTAAAATCGTGCAACTACGTGTAAATGGTATCCAATTGATTCTAATTACCCCCCTAAACATCCGAAACATGGTATGAAAAGATATGTTCAAAGGCATTGATCCATGGCCATGTGTAATTTTTCTGGACTTGCGAGCGCATATACGCGCATATCATAGGCTGCAAAGGTCCACTTCAGCTTCTCTTCTTACCATCTATATCTACGTAGCTCAAAACATGCATGGAAATGGGCACTTCACCCCAACATATAGGTACTTTGAGGGTCAACACTAGACCAACCATGTGGTACTCTTCAAATGTGCTACTTGTCTCTGACTGATTTCTCACGGCTAGCGGGCCGCGCAGCAAGTTGTGAAGGGAAGCGCAGGGCCAGAACTTTTATAGCACCAAGAATCATACCATTTCACAGCACCAACAATATTAAGGGGACTCCATGCACTGTTAAATGTCGGTTTCGGACATAGGACTAATAAGTCTCATCAATCCTAATCAATCTTCTTCAGTGATGGTCAGCCTTGGACCACTAGACTGGAGTCAGTAGAGTATTTTATCCATAGCTGGCCACACCTGGATGAGTCCACCTATAGCAGGTCACAGATTTCTGGATTTGTCCCAGGAAAATTCTTCGTTGCTGGTAACTTTACCAAAACAAACCACATTACCATTCTGCTTGGTCAGAACCATCTATTAATGTTGCTAATATCCGATTTGTGTGAGCTGATTCCGTGTGATCTGCGTATGTTTGCTACATAACCGTTTTGTTGGCAAACCATGTGAAAACACACTGGACTTTTAGATGTTTCTATTTTGCAATATGGCCAATAGCTTGCAAAAACCGTGTTCCAGCTAGAGGTTTCCTATGTAAAGTGTATGCTAAATTCCGATGTCTGGGTCCGTGTTCATCATGTTCAAGCCCAAGGATTTGAGATGCCCTAACTCATGTTGTTATTTTTAACACATCTATATATTGAGGCGCAAGTAAAAGGAGCACTTGCCATCTATATATTTCCAATCATCACAGATCACAGCTATTTCCAAGGTGCCACATCAGTCTGTTATTTTCCATATTATCACAGATCATAACGAAGGGGACTGCTACCACAAATATATATAATATCTATATTTTCCAATGGAATTTTGCTCTGGTTCTGCTCCATCCAGTTCGTCCAGTTCCAAGGTGCCACACCGCTCGATGTTGCGCATGGCCTCAAGTGCCAGCTTGGGACCGATGCAAATGTCGCTCAGGTACCTGCCATTCGGCGCCCGGTTGGCCCGGACGGTGGCTTTCTGTTGGGAAACCATGGAGTTATATGCCGAATCCATGTTTAATAAATACATTTTAATACAATAATATATATACATATATACAGATAGATATGATATTATGATTTATATGGCTTGATCCATGTTAAATACGATTTGTAGATATATTTATAATCAGTTAACTGATATTTATAGTCCATTATAATGAAACCCCCCATAGTTTGTAGGCTACTGTTGGGATTTGGAACCAACAAAGATATGGGGATGAACTAAGTTGATTTATGATGTACCATCTGCTTATTGAATATAGCCATGGAAAATCACCATGCTATTAAGAACGGAAAACCATCTATTTCGATTAGGGCCATGGCTTCCATGGCGAACTGTTAGTCATAACATGTCATAGCCAGATGGTAGCTAAGTTGCTTTACAACATTTAACCATTGGGGGGGTGAATTTCCACCGCCCATCACAAATGGAAAAAAGGGACGCAGGGAGATGTCAGCCCCAAGGATAAGGATCATCAACAGTCTCAAACATGCTCAAGTGATCTCAAGTCATATAAAACCGATAAACCTGGGGATACCAGGTTTAACACCACATATGGCTTTGACATGGCGTTGACATGGCTTTTATGTCGGGATCACATCACCTTTCTGCGTCTCGTTTTCGATCAGTCAAGACATTAGTAACCGAGTAACCTGACCTGTCCTGACATGATCATAGGATGTCAATGGTCCAATGGTGATATCATAATGATGTTTTTTCAGGATATCATGTATCTGAGTAAAAAAAATATTTCACTCATCTGAAATAAGGCTATTTGGGGATGATTCTCCTTACTAACCATGATTCCCGTGAGGTCCTTATAATTTATATACCCATACTTATATATATATATATATCATACAGTTATACTGTTTGGTGGTTTTAACCATCTTTAAAAATATTAGTCAATGGGAAGGATGACATCCCATATATTTTGGATATATGTTCCAAAGCACCAACCAGATTATGATATATATATATATATATTTATCCATAGAACTGGGGTGTTTTATGGTTCCAAACCGCCAATCAGATATCATTCCCTGGTAAACTAACAGTTTGCTATTGAAAATGGCCATTGAAATAGTGGATTTTCCCATTAAAACCGGTGATTTTCCATAGTTATGTTAGTTTACCTATTATTTATAGTGGATTTTCCCAATTAAAACCAGTGATTTTCCATAGTTATGTAAACGTTTACCAGAGGGTACCATAATATGTTATAGTCATAGGATGACAGGATGACGAGCTCCCAGACTCCCAGACTCCCAGACTCCACACAGAACAGTGCGGTTCTGCGAGACTCCTAGTGACTTTTTTCTTAACCACATCTTCAAAGGTAAACAGAAAACCAGTAAAAACAAAAAGGACATAATATATATATATATACATATATATTTATTTATATTTGTGGGATTCATCCAATTTCATAAACCATCCCCAGTCGTCATTCCAGGGGGCTTCATGGCTGGGATGCAAAAAGGCCCGCACCTGGTGCGGTTCTGCGAGTCGTCGATGGGCAGTAGCTGAAGTTCCAAAGCTTCAGCCTGGATTTTGGAGCCGGCTTCGGCTGGGAAATGCCCAGCCAAAAATGGCGGTTTTAATGGGAAAATCATGAGAAATTCAAAGGAAAACCTGGGAAAATCAACTATAAATGAAGGTTTTAATGGAAGAAGGATCCATGGTGGATGTTCAATTGCCACATTTGATTACGAAAGGGTATATACCAGTCAATTTATGTTCAATCGCCTTAATATTGAATATTACATATCATATAGGTATATACCCTACTACCATTGGTGCTGTGATATCTACCTATATAATACTATATGAATATACTCTATATATATAATACATGAATATTAATTATTGAATAGTTGCTTGTGTTCCAATGTAGCCATCTCCCCAGATGGGACCAGAAAATGAAAGGGTCGTACATTCCACCAGGGGGTTCTTGTAATATTTCGTGAAAGCACTATAGTGGAATGGTATCGAATGATGAATTTTGGAGACAACATAAAAACACGTCAAACGCGTTTATATGGAGTTGTAAGCTATAAACAAACATGTGAATAGAAACATAGATAATCTGGAAACATATAGATGATATATATATATATATTATATATTATATATATTATATATACATTATATTATATATATATACATTATATATATATACTGCATTTAGTGAGGCTGAGGCACCCATCCGCAAAATGTGCTCCTGATTGGATTTTCATCCCAGGGTCGAACATGTGAAACGCGCTTAAAACGGTTCGTCTTGAAACGGTGGCCTCAAATAGGTTTGGTTTGAGACTATGGGAATGAAAACCGTGGGAATTAAAATTAATGGGAATGAAAAATGAAATTTGAAACTTCAAATTAATTTTCGAACATTCATAGCACACGTGATCTTAAAACTTAAAACACACAATGGGAATGAACATGAAATCTGTTCAAATGTCAGAGTTGGATACCCTTGACGTGACCCGCAAAAACGTCGTGCCAAACTACCAGAACATACAAAAAATATACCTGGTTGGTGGTGCAATAACCATCTTGAAACATATGAAAGTCAATGGGAAGGATGACATCCCATATAAGAAATGGAAAATAACAAATGTGCAAAAAACCACCAACCAGATACAATTAAGAGTGGACCTTTCATGTTTCAGAATGCCCAAGCGGATTATTTTTGATCAAGAGTTCCGGATGGTTACGGCATATTTGAAAAAGGGTGACAAGCCCCAAGAAACAAGAGGTGCCTGTGCCAAGGGCGTCAACGTGTGACGGGGACAAGCTCCAAATCCACAGTACGAGTATCCCATTGATTTCGATCCCATGTCCCATTGAAATCTTCATTGTGATTTTCCAGCGACGACTGGGGCCCACATGGAAGTAACGACTGGAAGCTCCGGAGCCGAAACAAAAACCCAAATCACTGGAAATCGCTCAGTTCATCCCATAATCATCAAAAATAATGACTAATCATAGATCATGGGAAATGAGTATTGGAAATGATGATCATCACTGGAACTGATAATGGACATAATTGACAATCACTGGAAATGATAACGGAAATCAATCCATTGATGTTGCTGAAATATTTCTGTTACTTCTGCGCATCCTCCCTTCGAAAACGCCCAATTGTGTGATCCACCATACTTGCTCAAGCTGGCTCATGACAGCCTACACTGCCAAAATGCGACTGCAACAACTAAACTAGGAAGAAGTACTAACATATACCTAGTTGGTTGTTTTAACCATCTTGAAAAATATGAAAGTCAATGGGATGGATTATCCCATATATGAACTGGAAAATGAGAAATGTTCCAAAGCACCAACCAGATACAGTAGTTGCCTTTTCAATTAACATGGGTTCGAGTATCTATCATCATCTATCGACCCTCATCAACCATATTCTACCAACCGAGGTGACAGCCCTTTTTCTTCCGTATAGGTTTGTCTGAAAATAGAGTACCCAAAAAATTGATGGTGAATCACTGTGAATCACAGTTTTCCCTACTAGAATGGCAATTTGGTGGTATAGCCCATTTTCAGAGACAGCCATCTCCACCAGTCTCTTACTCTTTTCATGGACCACATGTGCCACATGCCTTGTTGAGCA